AGCAGGAAGACTGAAGAAGAGTGAATGGAACTAGCTGCTTTCTTGAAGGGGTTTCCTGACCAGCTACACAGGGTTGAGTGGCAGCTAACAGTCTGTGAAATGAGCATAGGATGGTTGGAATGTGGTTTTGCTAGGGATTTAAAATATTTTAAGAACAGTTACAGAACTAATAGATGAAACTGACTTCTTAAATTGCGTACAATACTTGCCTCGTTTCTAAAGGGGAAAGTGCATAAAAAAGCAGCTGCTTTTTGGAGAAACAATGGTGGCAAGGGTTCTCTGGAAACTCGCACGCCTGCATTTACTCAATATGTAGTAAAGGATTTCCGAGGTGGTGGAATGCCAGGTAAGGAAGAATGCTTCATCTTTTGACTCCCAGTGGTTTTTTGTGTGTGCATCAGAGAAGTTGCACTGTTGATGGTTAATTGAATATTGAATAATACCTATTGGTTGATGCATTGCTAGGAAGCATAATATCAGGAATGGTGCTGTTTGTGGAAAAGTAAGGCTTCTTGACAAGCTTGCATCTGTTTTCACAGACCCATATATTCACATAAATGGATTTATGACTTAATTTTGATTCCTCAAGAGTTAGTCTGTGATTATGTTCAAGGAGATAAATCACTTGGCACAGATGTGGGTATCTCTAGGTTTGCTTTATTAACAACTCAGAGTTGGGCCAACACCCCAAGTGTGTGGCAACTGAATTCCAAGTCTTTGCAAGTTTTATACCTTTTCTTTATCAATACACAGTCCAAAGTGTTGGTAAATCTTCACTGAAACTTTCAGTTTTTCATATTCATCACTTATTAAGTCCGCTCACAATCCACTTATTCAGCTGGGTTCGTCTTTTCTGGTTCCAGTCCTTGGTTTTGGTTTCAGGTCATCTTCGGGTCGTCGTCCACAAAATTATCTTTTCTACTAGTCCTATATGGTTACAATTCTGAGAACTTCTTACATCAAGTACTTAAAGTTATTTAAGACTTAAGCAATAAGTAAAATTCAAACAATCCTAATTCTAATCTTATTTCGCTATGCTCAGCACACCTGTTACTAATTAATCACTGTTATTTTCTTTTCTTTTCCTACGTGATCTGCATGACTGGGTTTTAAACCAATCCTGGGAGGGTCTATACAAAGGACAAAGGATAAGAACATTTTCTTGGCCTTTAGAGCAGCTTATTCAACTGTAAAATTTTGCTACAGTTAGCTTTCCTAGTTTATGAAGCTGTTTATCTGGCAGTTGGACAAGGATTCCAGAAAAGCTAACTTGTCAGTAGGGGGAAGATGAACATTCTTTGTACCCTTAACAGATTTAGAAAGTAGTGGATATGCTTTATAACGAAGTTCTTCAGCGTATCAGTATGAACCGCTTCACTATGTCACTTGTTACTGCGTATTTGGCACGTGTTTTGGCTGTGTTTGTCACGGAATTCTTACCAGATGAGGTTGATGTAATAGCAGAGAACTTGGGAAAAGCAACAGATGTGGAGCTGTTACTGCTGCAGTAGGCTTGATGAAAGAGAGTAACAAATTCCCTTTCCTTGCATCAAGAGGACATTCAGTACTTCTTCGCAGTTTCTGCAAATGTAACTTTCTAGAATTTCCCAAATATACCTCTGCTGCAGCTCTTGCCCAGAAACTAAGGAAACCTTTAGCAGGGCAGACGTAGTTGGTGTCCTATCTGTAGGCAGGTCTGTATGCTAACAGAAGTAGGCTAATAGGAAAAGAAGCATTTTTCCAAATACCTAGAAGCTTTCAAATGATGGGATAAAGTCAGTCCTCTAATTGTTCCTTTACTTCGGTAGTAGTGGTCAAAAAGGGTGGTTACTCCTTTGATGGCAATAATATTCTGGCTGTGTGCTGACAGCTTAATACTTGAGCCAATACATGAGTACGCTGTGCTGGTATTAATTGCAGCTGAGGAACTAATTTTTTCATTAAATTTTAGGGGTTTTTCCTTAGGAGCAAACACTGAACATGCATGTATTCAGAGCTATGCTGAAGGAAGGTGAGGCTTATCGGTAAAACTTCTTAGTGCAGATTAGGTCTTGTTTCTTATTTTATTAATACTGTGGTGAATATTTAGTAATTTTGGGGGGGTTCTCAGACTTCTTAAAAGAGATCTGGTAGGTCACTGAGCAAATAGTTACTTTGTTTCCATGTTGCTTTATTTCCATTGTAACAAATTACTATTGTAATTTGAACTTCTTTATATACTATGGAACTGCCTTGAAATATACCATAAACAAATGTGACTGTTTTCAGTGAACAACCCAGAGAAATCATAAAATGTCATTTTAAAAAATACTCCTTTGTTGGCTACTTAAAATGATTCTGAGCTGTAAGCGATTGACATACATACATTGTAAATGATTGCATATATATTATTTATCTACCACAACATGCCTTTTCTTTAGATAGCCGTTAAGGTAACAAACAAATCAGCACAAAACCTGGATCTGTCTGTCAGTTGATGTTCTTAAAGCTTTCCAATTAGTGTAACCCATAAAGGCAGAAGGAATGCTTTCCTTTTAGGGGAGAGGCAAAATTCAAGGTGTCAAATTGCTGGACACATTATTATTTTGAAATTGACCCTGAAATGAAAAAGGATCCAAAAAAAAAAAAATCTAATTTTAAAGTATTTTGTAACCTCAGTCTGTCTTTAGTATTGTTACCAAACAGGCTGTCTATTAACCTTTGCAGATGTTGAGAACATGTTCGCTCCCAGATCTTTACAAACTGTACAGAACTTTAGTCGATGTTCCCAGCGTAGCAGATGTGCAGCATCAGCATAATCTTGAAACAGATGATACGGAAGATGAGCAAGCCAAAGAAGGACCCTCTGATTCTGAGGATATGTGAGTGTACCAAGTTTATCAAGTATTTCAACAGACATCTTAGATCAAGTATATTTTTGGGTAGACACTAGCAATTATACACAGTATACCAGCATGGGATTTTTACACAAATTTTTAAAATCCTGTATTGAATCACCATTTACTTTGACTCTTGTTCCAGAGAATTGGGAAGCTAATGGGCTGTACTGCTTACAGTAGCTGTGTGAATTTCTTTTCCAAATTCCATCCAAGATGCTATCATGTCTGGCTTCTGCACCTTGCATTACGCTGAAGCAGATCAAAGTTGATGGCTAACGCTCTTCTAGAAATAAAGTTTCTTCATATTTCCTTTCTTCATATTTTCTGGGAATCTCGCTCATTTGTCTTCCCTGTTGTTGTATTGGGATGTCCTTCAGGTTCCCCAGATTCTTTCAGGGGCTTCAAAATCTGACCCTGGCTCTTGACTATTCCCTGCAGCTTGGGTAGTCTGCAAGGACAGAATCATCTGGTGTATCTATTCTGATGAGATCTAGATCTCTTTTTGCTCCAGACATGTTTTTATCTGGATTGGGAATGATGTACTTGCCAGGGTTCTATAATAGTGCACGAATACAAAGATTTTTAAATTATCTTACTAATAAAGTTGAATTGAGGGCAAATCATCATCTTTTTATGAAACAGTCTGGTATCTGTTTAGCTAATCTTTATTCCCTGTGTCTTGCACGATGTAAGTGCCGTAATCATGTTGGACTAAGAACACCAATATTTGGCTTTCCAGTTTATTGGCTTAACAAAAGAAATGAGCTCTTCTTACAGGGTTTGTCTTGTAAAGTATTAATTATACAACTTTATATCACTTTCTTTTAGTATGTTTGGGGAGGCAGATACAGATTTGCAGGAACTCCGGGCCTCGATGGAACAGTTGCTTAGGGAGCAGCCTAGCGAGGAATTCAGTGAGGAGGAGTCATCTACTTTAAAGGCTAATGTCATCGAATGCATAACAAATGGTACAGAGCTGGATGAAGGAGATGAAAATAACCCCAGCAGTGAAAGTGCACTTAATGAAGAATGGCAGTCAGGTATAATTTTTATTTTACCTGTTTTATAAGTTATTTATTGATATTAACAATTCAAACACAGGGTAATGTTTTTGTATTGTATACTTACAATGAAGTAAAGTTCTAATTAATAGTTTCTAATCAGAAGTTTAAAACAGATAATATTGAGACTTTCTGAATGTTAAGGTCAACATCTAAGCAACATTCAGTGTTGCAAATTAAATGTTGGTTATTTGTTAGGCAGTGATTATCTCTAGTTTTCTAAGACTTGTCTTCAAGGAAGATCAAAGACTCTGTGCACATCATATGTTTTGAATAATTCATTACTGCAATGTAAGAATGAAAAAGAAAGAGCAGTTGACATGACTGGAGTATCTGGGATCCAGCTTACATTACAATTAAGTAATTTAACAGGCAGTCAAAAGGAACATGAAATTATTAATCTTGTCCTTTAGCCCAAAATAGCTATTAATGCAGACAAACTAAAAATGAGACACAAAAATTTATTACTGCTTTTAGCATTTTGCATTAGCTATACACAGTGGTGTGCTGAAGTCTCACTTCTGGTTTTTAATATCTGCTTCATATAGAAGTATTTTACTACTGCTGGAAAATAAAGTGCATTTAGAAATATAGGTATAAAAATATGTAGAAAATCAATAACTAATCTAAAACATAACTTTTGTGTAATTTTGGTTTAGTGAGGACAATTTAAACAAATTGAAAAGCTGTGAATATACCTGTAAGGTATTATCTACATAATACATTCCAATAAGTATTTAAGGTAAAATAAATGTAGATAATACCATCATCTTTAATTTTTTTGACAGTGCTGATGTTACACACTGATAACATACAATACCATCTGTTTCTATGATTCTGTTGTTGTTGCAAGTGTTACAGTATTAGGTGTCAGTGTCCCCACCTTCTAGATTTATGCTGTTTCATCAGAATTGCTGGTTTCATTGTTGGGGGTGGGAGGAGGGCCTTCAAAACTCAGGGGAACGCACAGAACTTGCAACCAAATCTGTTCAAGATCCAGAAGTTAAATCACAGAATCACAGCACAGTGGGGGTTGGAAGGGACCTCTGGAGATCATGTAGTCCAACCCCCCTGCTAAAGCAGGTTCATCTACAGCAGGTTGCACAGGACTGTGTCCAGGTGGGTTTTGAATATCTCCAGCGAAGGAGACTCCACAACCTCCCTGGGCAGCCTGTTCCAGTAAAGTTTTTCCTCATGTTCAGGTGGAACCGCCTGTGCTCCAGTTTGTGCCCGTTACCCCTTGTCCTGTCACTGGGCACCACTGGAAAGAGCCTGGCCCCGTCCTCTTGATACCCGCCCTTTAGATATTTACAAGCACTGATAAGGTCCCCCCTCAGTCTTCCCCAGGCTAAAGAGCCCCAGGTCTCTCAGCCTTTCCTCACAAGAGAGATGCTCCAGTCCCCTCATCATCTTCCTAGCCCTCCGCTGGACTCTCTCCAGTAGTTTCCAGTCTCTCTTGAACTGGGGAGCCCAGAACTGGGCACAGCACTCCAGATGTGGCCTCACCGGGGCAGAGCAGAGGGCGAGGAGAACCTCCCTCGACCTGCTGGCCACACTCTTCTTAATGCACCCCGGGATACCATTGGCCTACAGGATTAGAAGTCAACTAATGGGGTTTTAACCCATATACCACTTTTCTTTTTATTTCAATGATAATTTCTTATTGATGTGACTGTTGATATCAGGGATGTGGTTAGGTTTATACCTTACATTAGTCATATATAGGAATTGAAAGTAGCAGAATTTTAATACTAACTCACAAAGTCTGTGACCTACCAAGCAATACTGTGTATTTTTTTAAAGACTTGGTATTATAAGCCCTGAAATCCAAAAAGTTGTATATTTTTCCCTGGGTAGATAAGTCCTTTCCAACTCAAATTCTTACTGAAGGTAATATTTTTCTTGGGCAAAAGCAGTTTTCATTTAATAATAGGACTTCACATAGGGATTCTATCTTGTATTTTTAAATAGATCCTTTTTTGGTTAAACTTACCTAATGTTTGACTACTACAAACCTATTTGTAAGGTTTCTGTAGCCTATAAGCAAAATCATCTTGATTTCTCTCACATGTCTTATTGCACCAACTGGCATACTGAATTTGCCACACAAAGGAGATGCACTCATAAAAGAATGAGGAACTTTGTAGGTAAATTAGTACTGGGTTTTTTAGACTTGCTCCATGGAACAAGATCCATCTCAGTGCAGAAACTAAATAACTGATTCTTAATATGCATGTCCTTATTTTTTGCTAGAAGACAGCTGCTTCATTAAGGAGCTCATTTCCCTAGCATGGGTGGGACAGCCACTGAACCCTGCATCTGTTCCATCTCAGAAATACATGGAAAATGGTTGTATGGAACTTGACCTACTAACGTTGCTGTGCTAAATAAAAGTCTGCTTTAAGACCATACATTGTCTCCTTCAGTATGAATACCCTTATGGCTAACTGTCAGAGTGGGGGTTTAGAGGAGATGACTAGGGGCTACCCATTTGGGATTCAGAATTTCTATGCTGTCAAGAAAGGGCTGTTCCCTTGCAGGTTGCTCAGAACATCTGCCAACACCGTCTAGTGCTCCAGAGCTTACCTGCTTTCACTACATTTAGAGGTCTGTGTGGATATCAAGTTTAGGGGACATAGAAACAACAATAAGAATGTAGGAAAACTGAGGGGGTTTTACTGTCGTTTTCTTTCTTTATAGATAATAGTGATGGAGAGATTGCCGGTGAATTTGAAGAATGTGATAGTATCTTCAGCCATTTGGAAGAGTTGAGATATAACCTGGAGCAGGAAATAGGCTTTGATAAATTCATTGAAGTTTATGAGAAAATAAAGGTTTGTGGAATAACCTCAAGTGGAAAATATTTTTAAAAACAAATGCCTAGGGCTGTTTACTGTGCCAGTAACTAATTGCATTCTGTGACTCGAATCAATGCTTATTTCTTTAGTCTTTTATTCTCTTTTGACACACTGAAATATTAACAGAGAAAATGCCATGCCAGTGGATTAGAGAGGAAAACTTCGGGTTTAACCATGAATTTCATTTAATGTATTTGAACTATTTAATTCTATACCCATTTTAATTTTGGCAACATGGATTGTCCTTTTTCCCAGGCTATACATGAAGATGAAGATGAAAATATTGATATTTGTTCAACCATAGTTCAGACTATTCTTGGAAATGAACACAAACACTTGTATGCCAAAATACTTTACCTAGTAATGGCCGACGGAGCCTACCAAGAAGGTAATCTCACTGTATCCTGGCAATTATGGCTTCTCTTTTTTCTTGATCATATACAATAGGTTCTAATATACTTTAAAAACATATTTGTGCTTTGTTATATTGATTGGCTAAATTGATAAAAATAGTTTTTTTCACAAAGGGTGTTTTATTCCTGCAACAAAACGTGGCAAACTTTGATTAAGCCTGCTGCCCGCTCTGACTTAACAGTGTGTATGTACACAGTCAACTGTAACAACTGTTGTCTTATGAAAGGTGCAGTATGATTGTTTAATTTCTGTGAAACAGCTACGCAGGTTGGGAAGATGGAAGTCTAGAATAAAACTTTCAGAATTAAAAACAATTTTATCTTAAGAATTAATGAATTTTTAGCTAAAATAATAGTGTCCTTTCCAATACTCCACTTTAACAGGTTGCAGTATCACTGCTTTTCTGAAAGAAAATTTCCTGTGTCTCTATCCTATAATTGTAATTTTTGAGAAGAACTTGATGTGGACGTGCCATCCATCTTAGTTTTCAGGTGGTTCAGTAATACATGAAGAGAATTGTCTTCCTTGGGCGCCCTGCCTAGCATAACACTGATGGCTGGCAGACGGACAGTTCCTAGCTCTTCCAGAGTCACCCTATGAAATAAGACACAGGCAACTATCAATGAGAAACGGTTTTGGTTTTCTTTTCCTCTACTGTCAAAAATTTAACTGCAGTTAGGTAATTTTAGATTTCTGATGATGGAAGTCTTTACTGGAGAGGAAAAAAAAGAAATCTCAAATGTCAACTGTTTTTCTGGAAATCAGCAGCATTCTATATTGGCTTTAGAAATGTGTGCAATGATCACTATTTAATGCATTTCAATTTTGAAAAAATATTCTAATGCATGTTAACCAATGTCTACTTTCTGCATCTTTTAAATTCTTTTATAAATGTGTTGCAATAGCACAGGATGGCACAGGCTTTCTGTGGGTTTTATATGTACATGCCTGGGGAGAAAAACTCTTAAAAATTAGTTTTAGAAACATAATAATTAAAAAAAAAAAAAATAAGAATTCTAACACCAATTACAGTTTCCCAGTTTTCTTTGCTACTGATACAGAACCACTCGGTAAGAATAACCAGTACCATGTTGTTTTCATGCTGTATTATAGAAGTATGACAGAGAAGTCTCTGAAAAATATTTTTTCAACCACAATTTATTGATTTAATGACAGAATTGGAAAGATACATTGTAGTAGTTGATTTTTCAAGGATCCAAAGGACTGGCAATATAGAACAAGAAGAAAATAGTAACTACAGGGTTACCAATTTCTTTTCCTTGCCACTTGCCTTACGGATATTTTAATACTAGTACTAAAAGGCTTAAATGACAATTCGCTGAAATGTTGGCATACAAATTGTAAGCTGTTGTCTGAGTGAATCCTATTAAAATGAGCTGACTTTCATCTTGCAGACTGCTGATTAACAAGTGGCTGTTTTTAATAGCTTCAGTTCTAATTCTGTATTTTACAAATCTATGGTAACATACAAAAATGTAAAGAAAAAGTAGTTTTTTACATTTCAGACATTTAAAGACATGTAGTAGTTCAGTACTAAAGTACATAAAGAACTATATTTAAAGTAGGTCTTTAGATTTCAGACATTTAAAAAGTCCCATGCTGATAAAGAGGAATAGAGGACAAGTGACAGTCCAGTAGCACGTTTGTGAGCTGCTGTCTCAAAAGTTTTGACTCTTCAAATAAGAAAAGTTAGAAAAGAAATCTCTATTGCTCTTTACTAAGAGGATTGTTCTAACTGAGGCAGGCCACTCAAGATGAAATTTCATCTTAAATTCACTAATCCAGGAAAGCTGACGTGTTGTTCAATATTTGTACACGTAGTGCTTTCAGGGCAGTTTTGGTAACAGTCACCTCATTGGTGACTGACTTGGTGAGTTCTTGCTTACTAAATTGTGGTTTCTAATTTGTTTTGTAACCCCACCTTGATTGTGTGTGTTTGTCGCTCCTTTTCACCCTGTCTCTCCCCCTCCTGCTTTTTACAGATAATGATGAATAAACCTGACTCAGGAAATTCCTTAATGCCGTACTACGTATCGGTGTTTGAAGTCTGCACAGCTGAATAACAAACTGTGGAGAATGTAACATGGGGCAGGAGAAGCAAGACTTCAAAAAAGAATGTTGATTGTATGAAAAAGAGGAGAACCATGCCTTTTAAAACTGAAATACCTATACACTTCTCTTGTGTGTACTTGCATATGTGTCCATTGAATATTAGATGCCCAAAATTTCAAAACAAAACAAAATAAAAAAAAACCAAACCTGTAACCTCTCAAATTCCAAAAGAAATACAGAAAGGAGAATCTGTAGATGTTCTGATACAAAACTGAGACCTGTAATGTAAACCAGAATTTCTGCCGTATCAACGGGTGGCTGGTATTGTTAAGCAATCAGAAGCATTACTTGTGTGTGGAAGTACCCCCTTCTGGCTGTTCACTTACTTACTTCAAATAGCCTCACCTACATAAAGAAATTACCTCATTTTTATTGACCCTCATGGTTGTATTTTACTAGCATCTTAATCTAGTGGTCCAGTTTGAGTATTTCACTTTTTTCTTAATAAAAAAATGACTGTATATCAAAGCTGAAGGCTTCCGTCACCTTTAAACCAGTGTCATCTGAAATATCTTAATGGTGTTTCTAAATCAAGGCAAACTGGTACTTCAGTGATCATTGAAATGTCTGGGGTTATTTGAGATTGTAAAATTCATTTGGAGCTAGAATACTTTTTTCTAATATTTTTCATCCTCTTCCCTTTCCCCTTCCCCAACCCCTTCCCAAAATCACATTTAGCTCTTTTGAATTTTGTAATCTGGTCAATGATAATATAGTATGCCGTTGAATTGAAGAGAGTGGGATTTTTCTAGTTTGTTTTTAAATTCTTATGTTACACTCATGGCTCCAGCAGCCACAGGGGAAAATGAAATACTGCAGACACAAGTGCCGTGTAATACTTCTCTTCTTTTGGCTTCTGTTTTGTAGCTTGATTTCCACGACCCTAAAAGAAAAAACAGGTTTCTTCTGACCCACATTCCCTCGTTCCTCCTGTCAAAGCACTACTATACAGGGCAGACGTTAGGTGTGCCGTTGTTTTCCAGTCATCCCCTCCAGAACAGCTTTATTGGCTTACCCATACGATAAGTCTCTTGTTACAAACCTGATGAGCTGTCAACCTTTCCAACTGCCGTGTTGGAGAAAAATAGATTTATTTTTTTTCAGCTATAGCCAGTCACAATCTAAAACTGTCAAAAGTTACTTTTGCACAAAGTAAAATCAAGTATATATATATATACATATTATTTAGAACTGTCAAAATATGTACATGATTTTTGTATAATTGTTTTATGGTGTTGTTATTAAAGTTTTGCCCGCTGAAAAGTGTTAATTTTTTTTAAACACATTCAATTCTTAAAGGTAGACCAAACTTACTCTGTTTCAGCTGTATCCTGGGAACCTGTGATGAGAATAAAATTAATAATCATAAATGCCTTTAATATTTTTTTATATCCCTATTTACTTGATATTCACCTCTTGCTTCATCTGATGAGAAAGTATGATCATTGTAAACAGAGCTGGTTCTGTCCTATGCTGCTTCTCTTCTCCTTCCCCTTCCTTCCTTTTTTTCTTTTTTTTTTTTCTTTTAAACTTCCCACAGTAAATTTTTTGGGCTTTTCACTAGGCTTCTCTTCCATTTCACTTTTCACTGCTGAATAATCTATTCAGAGGCATGATCCTCATGAGTTACATCATCCATGACATTTAGCAAATGCACTCCAAAGACTAATAAAGAATCTGCATTATTTTCCTTTTTCAGGTTTGCTTTTCAAATCACACCTTGCCCACCTTTTGGGGGAAGGGAGGACCTAAAACCTTTAGATTTAAAATAATATAGATTAACCATATGGAAAGAATAAAATATACCAACTGGTATATTCTGCGCTCTGTGGTTTTGATTTTTCTCAAGGTGATACAATCCTAGGGAAGTAAAGGGTTGGGGTGTGTTTAATTCTTGTTGAGATCATATTATTGACATTCTTCATTTCTTATGCAGCGTGCTGGCTTGCTTCTGGTAAGAACAATGGACATAATCTGCAGACTTCAAGCTTTATGGACCTAGAGCATTTTATCAATTAATGACTTAAAAAATATGCACAGATTGTGCACAGCTTTTCAAAAATAATGTTCAGACCTGCCAACCACTACTGGCTATCCTTGAAATCCCTCAAGAACTAATTTAAAATTGACAGAGTAAATACGTTTGTCTGCTAAAGAAATACTTTTTTGTTCTGAAATTTTAAATCCCTAATTAATGTATACTATAACAACATCAAGAACAGTGTGACTTCAGGATGATTTATTGGTCTGTGTGTAATAACAGTGAAATTAGTTGAGCATTTGGCTTGTATTCCTATTACATTCACTATAAAGAATTCTCTGTTGTAATTCTAGTAGCAAATTGAGATACATAAGGGTGGTTTTGGCATAAAACATACTCTCTAAGCTATTTCACGTTATGTCCCTGTCCTCAGTCTTTCTTCTTGATCCCTGAGGCCAACTGTAGTCCAGATGAGGAATCTTTAAAAAAAAAAAAAAAAAAAAAAACAAACCACCAAACAGCCCACAGACAAACCCCCAAACCCATACATAGTGCCTCTGGTGTGCTGCCCTGCAGACATGACTAGTCCTTGACACGGGCATCTCCTGGCTGACTGTGCTCTCTAGCTGCAGGTACACCTCAGCTTTTCTGACCTTCAACGAAAGGAGTAAAACCCCAGCAGTGAGGCAGAACTAGAGCGAACGTGGGCTTGTGGCCTGCGGCAGGAGGATTGAGGCTTGACAGCTGCCTGGCTTTCTTTTGAGCAATCCTACTCCAAGCATTGGCGCCTAAAATCTTTTGCAAAGAACAGAGCCTGAAGAGGCTTTTGCACTTCAGTTTGCTGAACTTTGAGCATGTATGTGAAGTTACTACTAGAAGTTACTTCAGAAAAAATTCTTACCTGGTTGAGCGACATGAACCAAAGCAGATCACTGCCATTTCTGCAGTCTGGTAAGCAAATGGCTGATCGAAACAGAGTTCCAGTGTAGCCCATTCCTGACAAGGTTCTCTGTGCTTGAGGCCTCTACATCACTTACCAATAATTCTTATTTCAGCTTTTAGTGCTTCTGTCTCCCTCCTGCTCTGATTTGTGCGTAAATGCTGCACGTTTATGCAGAGGCACGCTCTCTGCTGGCCCTTTTGTTCTAAAGCTTTAGGGCCTTGCCTAAATCTGTGGAAAGCTTACCCCAGGTTGTTGCAAGGCCTCTTTTCTCACCTGTGTTTGCAGGGGAAGCCCCACCCTCTCACACCTGAGGCCGGCCGCAGCTCCGAGTTGAACCGCGGGCCCTCAAGCCCAGCGCTCACAGCACGCGGCCCAGGGCCGGTGTGCCGCTCCGCCACCGCCGGGTGGCAGCACAGCGGCGGGA